ATGGAAAAAGATTTTGAACACCAACTTTAAATAAATCGTAACTGATCCATTAACTTATTTTCCCATGTGAATCTCATTCTTGTTAAGCCAACTTTCCTCTTAAATAATTTCTTTCAAATCTTTATGTAAAGATTACTTACGGCAGTTCATTTCATCACCAGCATCCTCACAGTTGACCACCTGGTCACAGCGGCTGTAGTTGGAGATACAGCTTCCATCTTTGCACTGGAACTCTCCTACTTTGCACAGGGTCACTGCAGGATGCACAGGAGTTTTGTGAGTGTAAAGGAATTACACCCTCTATCAAATGCTTAATGATTTTTCAATCAGTTGAAGCAATAATATTGACATCAATGACTCACTGTTGCAGGGCAGTTCATCTGAGTGGTCACCGCAGTCATCCGTGCCATCACACCAGAACTGGTGGCCGATACAGCGGCCATTCATGCAGCGTCTGTAGCCTTTCTTGCAAATTCGATTGGCTGTGGAAGAACAGCAGTTGATTAGAGTTTGCTGAAGTGCAGAGTCCTTTTTCATATATTAGAAATATGGCCTTAATGTACTAATTTGCTTTTTTATAAATGAAACTGATAAGCTGTACTAAATATACTCTATTAAACATTTAAATTTCCCTCTAGACCTACGGTTAGCTCTAAATTTATATTTCTTTTCCCCCCACATAATTTTCGTCATTTTTTACTTGACTATTGTCACATATTAGCCCTCACTCTCCTCGAGATCCAATAATAATTTGTCTATTTGTGTGCACTTTGCTGCTTTGAATATGACCCTCTGCTAATTGCCTGCAAATAAATAATAAAATATGATGATGAATTATTCACTAACTAATAGTTAGTTAGACTTACCACAATAGGACTGCTTCTCATCAGACTTGTCCTTGCAGTGGGCCATGCCATCACAGGTGAGGCTGTAGTTGATACAGTCGCCATTTCCACACTCAAAGTCATCCACACTTCCACATGATATATTCAGTGCTGGAGAGGTAGAAACGTTTGAAATTCAGCAACATAACATTTTAACCAAGAGGAGGCTTTGTAAAAATGATTGAAGAACTTCTCCCTTACAAGAGCAGGTGCTGTCTTCCAGAAGTTGTCTGTCTCCACGGCAACTACAGTTGACCCGTCCATCAGATGTGGGCAGACACAGGTCTTGGCAACCTCCATTATTTGTTCGGCATGGTGAAAACTCACCTGAAGAATGTATAACACAAGTGTTAGTTAGGGTCATGATGTTATGTGTTATTTCCATGTGGACACTGCATGTTAAATGATTGACAGAAAGCCCTGCATAATGTAATGTATCTAATGATATGAAGTCAAAGAAAGTGTCAATGAAGCAGAAAGAGTAGTTAATAGTAGTTAACTATTTAGCTTGTCCATATGAGCAGTCTGTGGACGTTTTCGTTGATGATGTACAAGATAAGATTCTACAGTCGACAATGATAACATGATGGTGTTTAGCAGGCGTAATGTTTACCATGTTCACCATGTCAGAATAGTGTTAACATGCTAACATTTGACGATTAGCAATAAACACAACGTACAGCTTAGGCTGATGGGAATGTCATTAGTATCGCAGGTATTTTGTCATAAAATAAAGTTCTGGACAAGCAAAAATTTTGACCCGATGATGGCGCTAGAAGAAAAGTGACCAAAGTGATTACAGTTCATCCTGAGCAGGACATAGACATCTGTGTTAAATTTCATGGCAATCCATAAAATACTTGTATTTCAGACTGCCTGACAGACTCAAATGGCCATCCCTAGAGCCACAGAGAAAAACTCAGCCTTTTTAGAACATGGAAAAACAAGCCTTTATAAACTCCAATAACACTCGCTGGACTTATGTAATTGGGAGGAGCAATCTGTAGAAACTTGACTTGACAGTGAATAATACTTACAGCTGTTGGTGTCATTGGCTACAGCAACGATCCCCATTGGTTGCTGAGGAATGTCGGCCCGCAGCACTTTCATGTCTCCTCCTGTGTATTTGTCAGCTCTGAGGACGGCCCTCCTCACCCAGTCAGTCCAGAAGATGTAGTCTCCATAGACAGCCAGGCCGAATGGATGGACAGGCTCATTCTTCAACAAGACCTGAAGCAGGAAATTTTAGCCATCATTTCACAGAACACAGAAGTGTTGATGCAGTCTTCTTTATGACCGGGAAAAATTAAAGGGTCGTCTTACATAACGGCTGCTTCCATCATATTCGCAGCGTTCGATCTTGTCCAGCGTGGCGTCAGAGAAGTAGAGTTTCTCAGCACGGTGATCTATTGCCAAGCCATTGGGAGTTTTGATGTCACTGCCGATGATCACAAGCACATTGGCTCCATTCAAAGAGGCCCTCATGATGCTGGGAGCCTGCTCGTTCCAGTTGGTCCAGAACATGAGACTGTAGTGGGAACAAACACAGGACAAGCATAATGATGTGCAGTGGGAGCTTCCAAAATGTCTTAGTACAAAAGTTATGGTTGACTGAACTAAAATAAATCTGCTGTTCAAAAGAAAAATAGTATTGGAACTGGGCCCTGGTACAGTCCAGAACACAGAGTTTCAATATTAATGACTCACTCCTGACACTCGTCCAGTACAAAGGCTCTGGGGTGGTCTTCTCCAGACATAGTGACCACAGTGTTGCGGTTATAGGCCAAAGAGCGGCTCTGGTCTACAGTGTGGCGAGTGATGGTGGAGGTTGTGTAACTGGTCCAATAGAGTGTATCCCAACCACGGTGGTATGCCAGGCCCTCAACTGACCCTACATCTGTGGAACAGAGAAGGAGGAAGTTGGCACACGGTAAATATTTTGGACCCATGACGATAGTTTTTCTGACTGTAGCTCTTAAAAAGCAAAAAGCCTGAGAAAACCAAACTCTTTTCATTTCACGATAAAAATATCACCTCTCAGGGGTGTTAGTAGGAGCTTTAATGAGGACCATCAGTGAGAATTCAACAAATCGTTAATCACTGTCATAGTTTAACAAGTTGCTCCCATGGTTAACTCAGAGACTTTATTAAAGAGGCAGTGGTAAATGCTTTTAAGGTTATTCCCATCATCCCACATCAGTTCATGAATGAAAACACTATGAGGAAGAAAAGACAAGGTTAAAAAGAAAAGTGCAAAAGAAAGAGTAAAATGGAATCGGTGCCACATAAGGCAGAGTATGTGCCATCCCTGCTGTTCCTGGAGAGAGTTTAAAGAGTCTGTATCATCCTGTCATTTCATGGCTGGCTGCCTGCACATACAAATACAGCTCCCTGTGGACACTCTCATTCATGGTGACTTCTTGTTCTGGGAAGAAAACTACCTTTGGAACAACTTGAGGTCACTATAGGGACATAAGTCAGGGTGAAGAAGTCAGCCGTGAATGGCAAACATATCCATTGTCCTTTTGTCCTGTGAACGCCCCCACTCATAGCGCATTCAGTAGTAGTAATATTTTATCTGTGGTACCTACCCGACACACAACCTTATGGAAAAGGACACTGTACTGCCGTCTCACAAGCTCCAAGGTGTGCATCCATCTGTTCTTGGTCACACTAGCAACCACATTTATGACAACTGAACACTCCACACAACTGTTTGCTCTTGGCTAAAAGTCAATAATGCCCTTTTATAGATGTTTCAGGTGAGTGACGACGTGTCGTAATCAACCTTAATGCAGGACAATTTTAAGGCTAAATGCCTTATTAAGTAACCTAAAATGCAACTAAAAGACCAGTTTAGGGCTGAGCACAGAGTCATGCAAACAAAGCCACGTTTGTGTCAACGATCAGGCTGTACAAAACAGAAATGAGAAAAAGGTGTACTTGAGCAGCTAATTGCTAGGACTGAGGGAAGATCACACACACTGAACAGAGATGAATAAAGTAGGTTCAAGCCAGTATTATGTAATGAGAAACAGCACAGTCACCCCTCCCCTTGCCTAGATCAGCTCAGCCCCTGGTTACTGTGCAAACAGTGGGGAAAAGCTGTTGGGAAGACCATTGTCACTCAGAACAGAGCCTTTCAGACTATCACAGGAGCAGCATAGAAGTGACACCTGAGAATTACTAAGCTTTTGTTACTGTTCATTTGAAAATCATTAATTAGTTACTTGTTCCTTCAAAGCTTGAAGGTCATGTTAATTGTATAGTAACTTTTCTGCTGGTGAAGTCTAAAGGGTTGCAAATTGAGCTTCTAAATGGATAAGATGCCTCCTGCCGCGGTGACCACTTAGCATCAAGTAGCATTGACTGCTTTTAAAGTGGAATGTCTGTTAGCAACCACTGGGATGAATTTGTCCTCTGTATTGATTTTTTGAAACCAGGCAACACAGAGTAACTGTTGCACTGACATCTCTCCGGATTTGACCCAATCTGCTCTTCCTTGGATAATGAAGGACATGCTGATGCAGCCAAGGAAAAGCCAGTGTGCAAAGGACTGCTACTTAAGGTCATGTTTCTACTTTTTTTTCCTGAGTAAAACTGGATAACAGCACAAGAAAGAAGTCTTTCTGAGATTTTCAGATGAGAAGAGTGCCATATCTAATCATCTTTGATTAGTTACAATTTTTTTTCAACAGCTGGAAAACAGTGAGAACGACACAGAGGGAGAGGCACATTTTGAGAGGGACTCACCCTGAGCATGTGTGCCTCAAAAGGCAGTGGACTTAAACACTAGATTATCTCTGGGTACTTGAAATGAATGAATTCCAACTGCTACAAGTAAATATATGCTGTCTATTTTCTTTTCCTGCGAGAGCACATATTATGAATGTCAATGAAGAAGTCAACTGTCCGGTGCCATCTTAACTGCTTAACTAATTGCTATCATTATGAGAGTACTTAATGGAGTGTGGTCATACCTGTGATTAATACAATATAAGACATGAACTGGAGCCAACAGATGCATCACCCAGACACTGTGTGAACATGCTGTTCTGATACTCAACATTAACAGGCCATTAGATTAATTAGTAAATTGACTTTTATTGTGAATGCATGGAGACTTTGGGGCAGCAAGTAAACAGCAGTGGCCTTGGCCAGATGAACAGGGCAGATGAAGCTTTGATTAAGACCGTGGTGCCAATCTTGGACGGACTAATTCTAGTGACTGGCTTGGTGGGCCAAACCCTGGTCATCACCATTCTTACTGGCAGGAGGAGGAAAGAAAGTCAACCCCCGCATGGTACAGACACCCTGCTGCTGGCTCTGAGTGCTGCTGACCTGCTGCTGCTGCTCTGCCTGCCCTTCCACACATCTGCCATCACCCTGGGCTTCTGGCCTTTCGGCAGTTTCCTGTGCAAGGCCATCAGCTTCCTGGGTGTGGCATGCTCAGCTGCTTCAGTCTTTACCCTCGCCGCTTTGGCTGTGACACGTTACCTGACAGTGGTGCACCCCACCTGGGCATATCGTTCGAGAATGCACCGTCGCATAAAGCTGACAGTAGCTCTGCTCTGGGTCCCCGCCGCGGCCTTGGCAGCGCCGCAGTTTGCCTTCCGCACAGTTACCGCATCCAGCGCTGTGTACTGTTTTGCCTTCCTGTCTGACTTCAGCCAGCTGGTCTACAGCATCGCCCTATTCCTGTTCGGCTTCGCTTTACCACTGGCCATCATTGTAATGATGTATGCCAAGATCTACTGTTTTCTTCGACATGCACGGCTGCTGGGGAACGCTCCCCAGCTGGAGCGCTACCAGAGCCAGGTCACTCACACTTCAGCTCTCCTGGTCCTTGTTTTCACTCTCCTCTGGCTGCCCTCCTATGCCCTCATGTTCTCCTTCATTGGAGGAACCATAACAGGCTCACCTGGCTACAATATCATTGCCCTCCTAGCCAGACTGCTGGCTTCCTCAGTAGCAGTGGTAAACCCTGTCCTGTATGGGTTTATGTCTCAGAAGTTTAGACGAGACTTACTAGAGCTGGGGAGAGAACGCTGGGTATGGTGCAAAAGTTGTCTGATTGACTGCCCTCATGTGATGAGCAGGGACATGGTACAGCCCTTTGAGTTGGACACAACCTCAGAAAGAGGCCAAAACTGACTCTTGAGCTAAAAAGAAAACACTTCTACATCATTACTTACTTAATCTTGGACCTAGGGTAGGCAATATTGCTTAAGAAAAATATCATGAAATTAATTAATATATATGTAAATATTTATATATGTATGAAAATGTATGCAAGATTACATATATAGAACTAAGTGATGTTAAATGCAATTAACTTCATTCCATATTTATGTATTGAATCAGGTAAAACCTTTCATGAACTAAAAACCTAATTTTGTTTGTTTTTAAAAACAATTTGTGATATTGATGAGGTGGGGTGTTTGCTCAGCCCAAAGGATACTAAAATACAAAACCCCTGCCACAGACTGTTTAACCTGCTGCCATATGGCAAGTGATACAGAGGTATCCGCTACCGTACCACCAGACTACAACGCAGCTTCTTTCCTTTTTTTTTGGGTGTGTAGTATAAAGGGACTACAGCTGGTAATTCCCTGTACAACCCTGTATTGTACAGTGATACATAAATGAACCTTGAACACTGAACCTATAGAATGTAATAAAACAGTGACACAATTAAAAATATAATCACGTTATTATTCTACAAGTCAATATATGATTATATTGTTTTATTGCCTTAAGTCTTATCTGAAATTGATAACACTCCTCTAACCTCAGCAGTGTTAAATTCTCCATCAACTGGAATACATTTTGTCATTGGTGGATGAAAAACTGATGTGTAAAAACTGGCCATCATTTGTTGTCAGTATCTATTCAAAACCCTGATCTCAATGCAACATCAATAAACACACTAACCCCATGCACTTTAATTGTTTTCCTGTCTTTACTATTAAAGAATTAATGTTTTGAATATTGCTTGCTATGAACAGCTTTGGTCCAGGGCTTTTAAATGTGATGCTTTTCTGGATGGAGTTCAACAACCTACTCTTGAATCATTTAAAGAGAGTGGGATTTAAAAGACACTTCAGTGTTGAAACAAGCAAAAAGCACAGTGTGTGTGTGTGTTTGTCTGTGCAAGTGTGTCTTCAAGTGGCAGCCCTAAGTGATGTCAATCTCTGGTTGAGAAGCTGCAGCTGTGTGTAAATTACAGTGGATCCTCCTGGGTGCTGGTGTTGTCAAAATGCGAGATGATGGCTGTTTACAGTGTTGAGGAGATGAGGGACAACATTCAATTATTAATGGACAGGATAGAAGAAATAGTACCACAAGGCAACAGAGCTGAAATATATGTAGAGAGATGGAGTTGCGGAAAAGTTTAGGTGAATGCTTAGCAGCATTTTGTGGCTTTTCTGAGGTGTAGAAAAGAAATTACATGTGATTGATGACTCCATACTTACTGTCCACTACAATCTTGCGGTCTGTGCCATCGTCATTGATCTGCTGGATGTTGCCAAAGTGGATGTCGCTGAAGAAGATGCGGTTGGCTCCCTTCCCTCCACCACCATGATAGTCAAAGCTGAGGGCGATGACGTTCTTCATGTGGTCAGGGTCCTCAAAAGGCTTTATCGGCGCGTTGAGGTTTGTCTCATCAGACAGGTGGATGCTCTTCAGTATGGTACGCTCAGAGTAGAGCAGGTATCCGTCATAGTCGCGGCAACTGCGGTTGTCCTCTGCCAGCATGCCATGAGCACAGGCGCAGGTGTGCTCAGTGTTGCCACGGAAAAGACACAGCTGTTCACAGCCGCCGTTGTTGTCTTTGCAGACATTGGTGCCTGGGGAGAGTGTGACACGTTTATGAGGTGTGTTGTTAAACAAATAATGAGCCTGGTTAAACACAGCATTTCATCGATTCCTGGGGGGTGTTGATTAAGTTGGGTGGTAAAAGTTGTTTATCATTGTGTGTGTGAAGGCTTGTTTTGTATACATGTGAGGACCATCTGAAGGCAGGCAGCCCACTGGTCTTGTAAGAAAGGTTTTACCAAACTTCACAGCATAAAGGATTTTGGGGGGTTTGGGATTATGTTTAGGAGTGTGTGTGCTTTGTGTGTGTTCCTACCTTGCTGCCTGGCCCTGTTGAAAACCTTGATGTCTTTCAGCTGCACACCAATGCCAGTCCTGAGCTGCACAGCATCTGTAGCATTGTCTTTGTTGCCTCTCTTAATGGAGCCATTGGCATGAGTCCTAAACAAAAGACAACAAAACCGTTGAGTCAAATAACAGCATGATACAATATGAAATTTTCCACATGACTTAAAAGCTGTCATAAATTAACAAGTATAACTACATAATGGAAAAAGATGGTTCAATAAACAAATTAATTAACTACTGAATGGACCTGTCACTCCAATAGATGTATTCCTCGAAGACAGACACAGCAAACATGTCCATGTTGTTGTTGGCCAGCACCAGCTCCCTGTTCTCTCCGGTCTCCAGGTTGATACGCTCAATCTTGTCCGTTCTGGCATCGCACCAATAAAGCAAACCCTCCTGTGGGACAAAACAGAAATAAAATAGTGTTGATTATTCAGGAAAGGTCACATTTTCAAAATTAAAATCAAACCAAAGAGGTTTTCAGGAGACTGGCTTGCTGGTACACTCATTCATAAACTCATAGAAGTAATAGAAATCATTCTAATGCCCCTTTTAGCTTGTTTGCCACAGCACCTAATGTTTTACTTCACTGTAGGATTTATAGGTGGGATTTTAGATGATCAGCATTAGCATATATATAAGCTACGTATATCTGTCAGATAAGGTAATATGGGGGACTGGCAGAATTTACACAGAATCATTTAAAACTATAATTGAGGCAACATTAAGTAGAGTTAATTACATATTAAAATTTAAATTAATTTTAAGAAACCACAGGGCAACAAATGAACCATTACTATAATTTAATCAGTAAAAATATATAAAAATAATATGAATAAATCTCTTTGCATAAAGAAAAAGCTGACCAATGTACCAGTCTCTGGAAAACTCACAGTATATTTGACATAGACAAACATAGGAAGGAAAAGGAAATATATGATTTTCTGTGTTTCACACCTCGTAGTCGATGGAGATTCCATTAGGCCAACTGATGCTTACATTGACCAGGACCAACCTCCCTGTGCCATCCAATCTAGAGCGCTCAATACGAGGGTACTGACCCCACTCAGTCCAGAACAGATACCTGCACACAGGGACACAGACACACACACACACAAGAGGCTTTAAAAGTGCATTTTACAAATGTAGTAGCATGGTTTAAACTACATTGGAAGTGCAGTACCTAAAGGCAGCAGTATTACAGAAGGCAGAATTTAACTGTTGGCAATAAGCCTTACCCTTTAACTGGGTGGACAGTGATGGCTCTAGGTTTGTCCAGGCCCTGGGAAATTACTACATAGCGGAAGGAGCCATTCAGCCTGGCCACCTCGATCACGTCAAAGCCCTGGTCAGTCCAGTAAATATTTCCTATAAAAAAACACAGATTCAAATCAGCTACATGCTCATTTATCTATTACAAGTAGAATTAAAATATGATTTTAAATCTGTTATGACTAGACCTGCTATCCAGTCAACGGTGATGCCCTCCACCCTGCCAATGCCGTTGGTGACCACATCTTCTCTCCATGTCTGGTCTCTCTTAGCCCTGCTGATGGTGCTCAGGCCCATGTCCACCCAGTAGATGGTGTCATTCTCTGAAAACAAAAAGACCTTTTGTGTCAGCCTATAACTACTCACTTTACTGAGATAACGACAGCTTTAAAATGTCACTCAAGTGAGGCCATCTAGTAACTGACGTCCGTCAGTGTCACTCACCAGCGTGGAAGTCGATGCCGACGGCCAAGGAGGTGCCAGACACTGGCACCAAGGCGTCAGATTTGTCTGCCGGGTCCAGTGGAATTCCTCTGATTCCCTCATGAACAGAGTAAAGCAGGAAAGAGCCCATACCTGCTCAGAGACAGGACAATACATTTTTGTTTTTAGGACACGCACTGCATTCCTACTGTATGTGTGACTGTAGCTCTGAAGCAGTCTCACCTTCACAGGACTGCTGTCCCGTCTTCAGGCTGTATCCAGCAGTGCACATGCAGGCCCTGGTTGTTGGTGAGGTAGGCAGACAAAGCTGGGAACAGTCTCCATTGTTGTTACTGCAGAGGTTGATACCCGCTAAAGGAAAAGGAAAAGATCAGTGAGGCCCAAAAAGTAAGAAAAATATTTTTATTTCCTAGTTTTATGTCAAATAAGGCACTAAATTGGTGTGTTTTATCTCCACCTCAAAACATGAGGCTCAAGTGAATTTGATATAAACTTTTCCAAATTATATAGAATTACTGTTTGACTAACTTCTGACATAAACATAAGCAGTAACATTTTTATTACCTTTCTGCACATCCTCATCATAGATCCTCATGTGCATCATAGGGGAGGTATTGTTTCGCAAAACCTTCCAGTTTCCTCCATCATTCTTGTCACATGTTCCTATCTGGTCAGTTCCCTGGTCTGCCCACCAAAGCTTGTCTCCTACAGTGAGGGAAATGGATTCATATATTCGTATCTTATTCTTTTGAGATATTGATGTCTTTTAAAATATAAACGGTAATATGTTATAACTATTGACTTTCAGATCAGGATTTGAATACAAAGAGGATAAATTTGAAGTATCTCCTTTTTCATCTTACCCATAATAGCCAGGGCTGTAGCCTTGGTAAGTTTGCCTCTAGCACCTTCCAGGATCTCCAGTTTAGTTCCATCTAGCTGACAGTGGTTAATGGTGCTGTTTCCTGAGCTGATCCAGTACAGCTGCTCTTTTTCATAGTCAATAGAGAGGCCTGAGTGGAAATAATAATGATGCTATTATAGATATAAATCATAACATAACATGCTTAATCTCTGCTTTCACCCTGTAGAGTTAAACAGAGATTGAGTATTATTTTGCAGTCAGTTATTCTTGGCAAGAGAGGTACATCTGCTCACCTACTGGTCCTTTTTGATTGGTGAAAAGTGTGGTGTGGTTGCTACCATCCATGTTAGCCATGCTTATGTTGTCCCCATCAGTCCAGTACAGCTTCCTTAAGGAGGGAAAT